ACAACACAAATTCTTCAAGTTGCTTGAGAAGTATTTATGAGGCCAGGGTCTAGGTAATGGGAACTAGCGAATTCAAACTTCTAGCCGATATTTATTAAGGTAGAATATAAACAATTGTTCACAGTCCAAATATCTGATGGATATGCAATTTAATGATGTTGATTAAATTGGTTTCTACTAGGTTCTAGGCCTTGTTTTTCCAGAACTCTTTTCTACAAGGAAATAAAACTTGAGAAATCAATTGTTTATTTTTTAAAATATCTGAATTTAAAATGACTCATTTTTATAAAACGAGCAAAGACTGACAAAACAGGTGACTTTCCTTTCTTCCTTCCAAGGTAAATATTATTTAAGGAGATATATAGCCTTTCAGAAATAGAAAAAAGAAAACAATATATATGTGTTTAAATCACAATAAAAGTCTTTGGTGGTGTTTTAAATCACTACAAATAATCTTCTCTTTTCAATTTGCTTTTTGCATTCAAACTTTGGCCTCTGGAGTTACATACTATATTGACTCCAGAGAATGATTGCTCCATTTTTCTCTAACACAAGTAAAGGGCAACGGATCTGCATTGAACATCTCATAATGATTTCTTCTGACTTGGAGGATTCACATTAAGGCTGGGGTACAGCACGTTGATGGAATCCTGTGAGAGTGGTTATTTTCAGTCTCAAATTTTATATAATATTCTTCTTAGCTATAGAAATATAAAACCTAACAAGGCCAGGCGCCTGTGGCTCATGCCTGTAATCCTAGCTACGCATGAGGCTGAGGTCTGAGGATCGCAGTACCTAACCAGCCCTGGCAGGAAAATCTGTGAGACTGTTACCTCCAATTAACCACCAGAAACCCAGAAGTGGTGCTGTCGCTCAAGTGGTAGAGCGTTAGCCTTGAGCTGAAGATCTCAGGGACAGTGCCCAGGTCTAGAGTTCAAGACCACAACTGACAAAAACAAAAACACGATACAACACACACACAGACACAGACACACACACAGACACAGACACACACACAGACACACCCAGACACACACACAGACACACAGACACAGACACACACAGACACACAGACACACAGACACACACACACACACACACACACACACACACCCCTAACAAGAACCCAACTGTAGCCACAGAGACATAAAGACATTCCTGCGACTCCAGTACAAGGTTGCTCAACCTGCTTCTTAATATCTCTTTAGACTTTAATATTTGGCCACATCACAGATAAAGCCCTGATTCACTGGGCTTTCTTGTAGTACTGACCATCATGATGTGTATGCATTTGCACTCCTATTTGGAGAAGTGTTTCCCTTTATGTATAGCTTAATGAGATTGTTGTAATTTGTTTGCAATGATCCCAACAATGATAAAAGTGATACTATATTTTACTCTTGTTACTTTAATGATTATCAGTCAAATCCAGCATCTCCTTGGATAATTATCTGTAATGTGGATTTCTTTTCTGCGAGTTGCATGTGCTGATCCTTTCTCAATTTTTCTGATATTTTTCTCTTATGGTTTGTAGAAATATTTTACATACATGTAAGAACACTATACCTTGTCAGTTATACAATAGGGACAATCTTATACATCTAAGTGCTACCCAATAGTATATAGTATTATATAAATCTACAAAATATGGATGGTCATGATCATGGTAGCTAAGCCAACAGGAAGAATAGAATTAGAATTTTATGCTTAGGAACAAAAGGGATTTGTAATTTTATTTAAGAAAGGTACATATTTCCAGATGCTAAATACATATAAAAATATTCTAATACTCAAGGAGCTCAATTTTAATTACCTGAATTTTTTAGTCATGTAAAAAATATGTTATCCTGATAAATAAATTAAATTGACTAATATTTATTTACTGGTTTTAGAAAGGTAGATTTTTACGTCCAGATAGGCTGATTCATATCTATAATACCAGCTATGTGGGAGTTAAAGATAGAGGGATTATGGTTCCTTCAGGGAAAGGGGAGAGCCTATCTGAAATACTAAAGATAAAATGGTTAGGCCTTTCAATGGATGAATGGATCAAGAAAATGTGGTATATATACACAGTAGAATTTTACTGTCCACTAGAAAGATTACGTCACTTGCAAAGAAATGGATGGACCTGGAAAAAAATTATGTTAAACGAAGTAAATCAGGTCCACAAAGACAAAGGATGAATGTTTTCTCTCATAGGGAAGCCAGAATTAATTACTATATGTATAAGTAAACACACTAGGTATGTGTACTAACTAAAATATGGTATTTTTTTCAGGATAGAATTCAAACAATGTAATATTTTAGAGAAACTAACAACTTAACAAAAAGAATACCAAGAAACTGGTACTTGAAAGATGGAGGTGCAGTCACTGAGAGGGGTCAGACAATAAAGACAGAAAGCCGAGGAGAAGGAGAATGCATTCATAAAATTCAATGCATATCTTACAAAATTAAGGAAATTGAGGGAATGGGTAGGGTTAGGAGAATGATGAAAGGAGTGGCTTTAATCAAGATGCATTTTATCCAGAAACTGATTTGTTGAATGGTAATCCCTTTGTATAGCTACTTTAAGATAATAAAAATATAATTTACATAAAAGAAAAATGGGCTAGGGCTTAAATGTTTTTTTTGGGGGGGGTCCAGTTGTGGGGCCTGAACTCTGGGCCTAGGCGCTGTCCCTCAGCTCTTCAGCTCAAGGCTAGCGCTCTACCACTTGAACCACAGTGCCACTTGCGGCTTTTTTCTTTTTGCTTATGTGGTGCTGAGGAATCGAACCCAGGGCCTCATGCATGCAAGGCAAGCACTCTACCACTGAGCCACCTTCCCAGTCCCAAGGGCTTAAATGTTTAGAGTGCCTACTCAGCAAGCACCAAGATGAGAAATATAGAAATATATTTTTTGAAATTTTTATTTTACTGTTCATTAACATGATAGTCATATACCTTTATGGTCCATAATGTCATGTTTTGATAGTGATATCAATATTGTAATGATACATCAGCATAATTTGCAACAAACTCTTCTCAGATTTTTATTTTATTTTATTTTATTGTAAAGATGCTGTACAGAGGGGTTACACTTACATGAGTAAGGCAATGAGTACATTTCTTGTCTAACATTGTTACTCCCTCCCTTGATCTCCAATTATCCCTTCCCTCCCCCACTTCCCTCACTCCTCCCCTGCCCCAAAGTTGTAAAGTTCATTTCCAATATACTGTCTTGTGATATCATTGTTGCAATGGGTCATCCTGTGTCCTTGTTTCAGCATTTTGTTATTCCCTTTCCCCTCCCTAAATTAGACATATATATATATATATATATATATATATATACAAGATCCAAGGTAACAAAATCAAATGCAGTGACAACAGGGGATATACCAGAGATATACAACAGGGAATGACATACAGAGGAAACAAAAAAAAAAATCACATAGTGTATTAAAAACAGCACAACAAAGAAAGAACTCTTAAATGCAGTTCAAAAGCCCAAATGAAAATTTCAAATAGTTGAAAAACAAATCACAATTCAGCCACAGAAGAAAGATCACCCAATGTTTTGTTTTGTTTTGTTTTGTTGTTGTTGGTCTTGGGACCTCAACTCTGGGCCTGGGCGCTGTCCCTCATCTCTTCAGCTCAAGGCTAGAGCTCTACCACTTGAACCACAGTGCCACTTCAGACTTTTTCTGCGTATGTAGTTCTGAGAAATCAAACCCAGGGCCTCATGCATGCAAGGCAAGCACTCTACCCCTGAGCCAGTTTCCCAGCCCTGCATGTCTGGTTTTGATAGGTTTTGTTAAAGAGTAGTTTCTCATTGTCCTCTAACCGTCATTTCCTCATTTTCTCTAACCTTCTTCCTTTTTTTTAAAGGATGTTTGACTTTTCCTGGTAGAACTATACTTTTCTAGGAATATTTTAACTTTAATATGCTGACCCTAGAGAGAGAAGTAATTTAGCAGAGTTTCTAACATCAGGGATTAAAGTAGATGTTAAAAATACCCACAGAGGATGAAAAGGAGCATAAAGATGAATCAGGCATGAAAGTGCAGAAAGGGAAGTAGATGATTTTTTTCATTTTATTGTCATTATAAATAAAATGAATTATATATTTTTGATTTTCCTTTGCCATAGGATTTGGCTGTTAAAAGGAACAGCAGAGAAAATTGAATTACAGTTTTCAAGAACCCGTGAAACAGCAGCATTTTCTAAGTAGTCAGTGGAAATATTTCAGACATTCCACTGGTTATTTTCCACCAACATCCAGCAGGTATACAGGTGTCCTGGTGAGAAGAAAGAGGTGTCAGCATTGTACATTCTGTAATTTGCTTGTTCTTTTATAGCAGTGTGATCTGGTGAAATGGAACAACTTATCTTTGAGCTCTTTGGCCTTTTCTCTACTTAGTCTTTCTTGTGAATGAATAACCCCTGATTGTCCTCTTTCCTTTTCTAGAGTCCAACTTCTATCTTCGTTCTCCCCAATTACTGCATTAACTGGCCTGTGCACCGAAGTGGTTAAAGACCTACTATTTACTAACTATGACTTTTCATTTCTAATTAATTAATTGTTGATACTTTCTAAAGTTTAGTCCCATACAATACTTTTGTGTTTCATTGAACTGTTTTTTACTCCTACTGGATCCTAGGATTGAGATTTCATTATATTTCATAAACAAGGAAGTGGGGTTAGAGGGGTTGAGAAAATTTGGCCAATGTTTTTCAGTTGGTAACCAGCAGTACTGTAAGTCAACTCAGGTTAGTATAACATAAAATCTATACCATTAAGCTATGCTACATTATTTTACAGGGGTTTCATAAGTGTTTGTTTTTGCAAACCATCCCTAGACATGATATAGCAGCTCATATCTCCTTCTGATGGAAGTGGCACAAAGACCAGCAAGTTGAGTTAAACTCAGGTACCAATGTTGACCAAGATCTAGAGTAAGAAAGCACCAGAGAAAACTGCCTAATACACTTTTTCCCCTGTGTTTAACCCAGTGATGCCACGCTTTGCTGAACAAGTCGAGGTTGCTATTGAGGCTCTGAGCGCCAACATCCCCCAACCATTTGAGGAGAATGAGTTCATCGATGCCTCTCGCCTGGTGTACGATGGTGTTCGGGACATCAGAAAAGCTGTGCTGATGATCAGGGTAGGTGAGGCCTCTATAGCTCAGAGCTGAACAGAACTGCTGCAAGGGACACCGAACAGTTAACTGTCTTCATTTTTAAAAATTCATGTTGTTTGGTAAGATATTTGGCTCCTTCTATAGGCAGACAGAGTTGTCTTTTTATGTATAAAAAATGATTGAGCTTAATGGGCTCTGATTAGCCCTGAAAATCATGAAATTTGATGCCCTGCCTGCTTCTTGCACACATTGTTCCTAAGTTACATACAGATTTAGGGTAAGTTACCTTTTGTGCCTGTTGCTGAATAAGATCTTTTCTACCTGGATCATCAAATAATCATGAGCTGGAATGAAGATTAATCCTCTTAGTAGCCTTCATATAATAATATTATTAATAAAAATACATTCTCATGGTAAAAATGAATTCTGGCATTATAAATAAGGTTAGATAGCTTTACATCACCCACCTCACTACTTCCCAACCTCAGACTTCTGTTGTCAGATAAGTGTGAATTTTCCAAATCATCATATAAGTAATTACATATAGATACAGACCTAGAAGATATACATTGTAGTTGATACTCAAATTTTTATTGTATCATTTGCCTCTTATTCACCAATTATATCCCTTCATCTATCTCTGAGATATAGGGCTTACCTACTTCCATTTAATTGCTGTACAACATTCCATTGAATGAATTTTTTCACTCAATTTTTTCACCTTACCAAGAGTTTAGCCTAGTAGTAACATTCAAAACAATTTTACCATCCACAGAGCGCTTTCTTCAAATAAACTACATAGGCAGAAGCACAGTTGAAAACACAAATATATTTATGGCTATTATGACTGAAGCAGAGAAGGGCTTCTGCTGTGTTGATTTCAGGAACATATCCAGTGGAGACATAAGGGGACCCACGCTTTGAATTTAAAACATTTTAGTATATACTATAAAAAAGCTTAGAAATTTTAGTACATCCTATCAAATAAAAATGAAGTTAATTTTAACTATAATATTTTATTTAGCCAAATGTGTCCATAATATTATCACTTCAGCATGTTATACTGGTGACATTGAAAACAGCCACTAGCTCTATAGACCCCATGGCTGTGATCCTGGTTGGAGCATTTCTGTGCTGTATCCTTATCTGCACCTTGGACAGTTGTTTCTGAGACTGGTCACTGAATCCCTCCCTCCACAGGCATCTGATGAGTGCACTTACAAAAATTGCTGAGTAATGATTGAGCATCTAAACCAAAGCTTCTCCTAACAACCAAACAATACTGTAACACATGTACAGTCGTCTTGCTCATTGCATATATGTATACAGTCTTTCAAGTATTCCAGAAGTATTTGTGAAGTATGTATCACTGGAAAATATGTCTTGAGTTCTTTGAGGATTTCATATGCGGTGTTGATTTTCCACTGAATCCTGGTGTACTTGAGTCCATTCAATCTGGTATAAGTCTTCCTTGACTATGGCAGCCACAATACAATAGAATGCTTCTGCAGTGATGCCAACAGCCTTGAGCAGAGCACCACCGAAAGAGTCTCTATCTTGTGCTCTTTATTGACAAGCACATTGATGCAGAACCATCCACCAAATCCTCCACTTGAGAGGACAAATTTTCATTCACTTTGAAGTCAGTTTAACACTCTTCACATCACATCAAAGTCTTCCATGACAGTTTCACAACATTTGATAAATTGTACAGCATACTACTAATTATACTTTTAAAATGTAGAGTTCTACCTCGGAATCTGGGAGCTATGATCTCTTTGCTTCCTTGTCCTTTTAACTTGAACCATTTTTTATCTGTAAATCTCTGACTACTTTAAAGGCCTGGCTGAAATGTTCTCTTCTCATTACATTTACCCTTCAACTATACTATGCTGTAAGGAAATATAACTACTTCTGTTTGTGATAGTATCATATTATACTATTTTCTTTTATGTCTATTAGTTTTTGGGCTATGAGATTTTTGGAAAGGAATTACTGTTGCTCCTCTTTTTCCCTTTATTATGATACTTTGTCATACAGCCTAATAGTGTGTGTGTGTGTGTGTGTGTGAGAGAGAGAGGGGAGGGGAGGGAGGGAGAGAGAGAAGAGAAGGGAAGGAGAGAGTAAGGGAGAGGGAGAAGAAGGAAGAAGTAATGAAGGAAGAGAGGGAGATATCTCATTAGATTGGAAGATGACAGAGAGAAGGGAGCTGAGAATTAGAGGAGGAAAAGAAAGGATAGACAGAATCTTAAACACATAATAAATTGGATCATTTCTCCCATTACACACTAACTTGTGAAATAAGGTAATAGACCACGAGCATTATGCTTTCAAAGCATTTGGCAAGACACCTCACTATAATCCTCAAGACATATTCCCACTTTGCCATTTTTCTGCTTTGTTAGCCTTCATATTTTTGTGACAGCCACTTATCTGAGAGGCTGAGGAAGTTTATAGTGAACATTCATTTATTCATTCATGAGATGTAAAAGAAACACAATTTTAGATAAAATGCCATATCATTGTCACATGAAGTGTCATTCCTCTATCTCAACATTTCAAATGATTTGATCACATGGGTTTCACACCACTTAAAACTGAGGAAGAGAGAAATGTACAGTATGTATAAACTATTTAAAAAATCCTCATCTATTTGGTACCCAAGTGGTTTCATTTTGTACTTAAATAATTCCTTCTTTTGTGAATATAATAATTAAATGTACAGTACTTAACAGATTCCATTGTATGGGCAAGAGAGATTATAAAACAAGTAGGGGCTGCTTTTGTCCCAGTAAACCTTAATGTGCCTCTAACAAAGTGTTGATTATATTGAAAAGAAAGAAGCTCTGTTAAAAAAAAAAAAAGATAGCATGGGCCTGGTGTTGGTGGCTCATGCCTGCAATCCTAGCTACTCAGAAGGCTGAGATCTGAGTTTTGCTGTTTGAAGCTACCCTGTGTAGGAAAGTCAATGAGATTCTTATCTCCAATTAACCACCATAAAGCCAGATGTGGAGCTGTGGCTCAAGTAGTAAAAGTGCTATCCTTGAGCAAAATAACCCAAAAGCTTATGGACAGCACCTAGGCCCTGAGTTCAAGCCCCAGGATACATGTGTGCACGCGTGCACGTACACACACACACACACACACACACACACACACACACACACACACGGGAAAGAACCTTGAAAGGTTAAATTTTCCATCACCTATACTCTTGGCAATCAATACATACTAAATGGTGATGCTGGCATCTGAGCGGTCCAGGAAAGCTCCAGGAAACCCTCTGCTGTAGAAAAAGCATGCCCATCCCTTTTGGGACTCCACTTTTATGTCTGAGCCACTTTTATCCCCTTCCACTTCATGAAGCTATTTTTTTATTTGCTTCTTGATGAGGTTTGTCTTCTCTGTCATATATATATATATATATATATATATACACACACACACACACACACACACACACGTATATTTATATTTATGATTATATATTTATATTATATAAAATTATATTACACATTACATACTATATAGTGATATATATTATGTATTATATAATTATATTACATATTATATAATATATAATGATTTTATATGATTATGTTATAATTATAAAATATATTATGGTAGATCAACATACATCAATTCTCCCCATTTCCAGTAGCTATGTTCTAATATATTCTGTGTCATAAAGTAAATTAGTGAATTCTGATCTGCTATTCCTGAGGGACATAGAGTGAGGCCGATTAACACATATGAGGCCTTGTTTCATGATTTTTATTAGAGACACCATTCTTAATATGTATTGTTGAACTGAAGTCAACAGTAACCAGTACCAACTCATATGCAAACAAAGCTCATTCAGCACAGATGTTTCTCTGTAAAGCACATTGCAACCTACTTACAACCAGGGAACTATGCAGAAATATTCAGATAGGGAACATTTTAAGCCGAGAAATCACCAACCAAAAGCATAAAAAATGTGGTACTAAATAGTATGGCACTAAAAATGTGACATTAAATACTTGTTTTACAAGGAGGGTTTCAATGGGAAGGTAGAGTATTGTGTGGTTGACCTTAGTGGGAAAATATGTACTTGAGTAACTCTTTATTTTCCTACTCTTCCATATCTACAAAAGCATCATCATTATTCTTTTTGGGAGAATTACACATAAAATTTGGTGAGAAGGCACATTCACAAACATGGCGTCTGCAAGTCATGAGTACCAAGTATAGGCTTAAATACAAAGTGTTAATAATATGGAGAGTGGGTAGGATAGTTGGTGCTAATAATAATATCATGGTGCCAAGAGAGGTGCATTCCACAAAACAATAGCTATTCCCCAGAAAAGAAGTATTGACAGAGAAAAGTCTACAGTGAATATCTACACTAATCATTGGTAATTGGTTTCCTTTAATCTGGTTAGTTGTGATGCTTTCAATGGGAGGAAAGGAAATAATGTGTCCTGGGAGAGGATTTGAGTAAAAATCTCTTTTAACTGAATTTCACATGTGTCAAACTGTGTATCAGTGTACTCTGGAACACTGAAAAGGTATTTTAGAATTTTGAGAATAATATATAGACATGGCTTAGCTTGTATATGATATGTTAACTAGGAGAAATTTAAGCATTAAAATGGTACATATTTTTATATTTTTAATGTAAAAATACTGTACCGAGGGGTTACAGGTACATGAGTAAGGTAATAAGTACATTTCCTATTGAGGATTGTTACCTCCTCTTTTGTTTTCCCCCTACCATCCCTTTCCTCCCTACCTCCACAACTTCTCCCTCCCCCACACTCGAAGTTGTAAAGTTCATTTTCAACATAGTGTATTCTATACCTTATTGTTACAATGGGTCAACCTGTATCCTTATTTTAGCATTTTGTTATTTTCTTTCCCCTCCCCAAATTAGAAAACTGTATATACAAGATGAGTATACAATGTACTTGTGAAGCTCATGAAATTCCTGACCAAAAAAATCTAAATTTCTCATGTCTATTTAGATTACAAGGCTTGAGACACAGTGAAATATTAGGTTAAAAACTGGATGTTGATTGGATTAATGTGATTAACCAATAGGTCTATTTGAATTTTTTTAGTTTTGCTTTTTTAGAGATCATGAAAATGATAGCAAGCAGGAAAGTTTGGAATTTATATCTTAACTGTCAGTCATCTGTATGTTCATTTTTTATGTATCTCAATTTCCAAAAGGGAAGGTAGAGAAAAATACTAGCAAAGATAATTAAGGGCTATCATTCATCTACCACTTAGTGGGCTCCTAAGAAATATTTCTATTCTACATCCTGCTGAGATGAAGTTTATAAAATCAATGAAACAATTTGTCTTATATCTCAATAATATTATCAAAGTTGCAGAGGTTAGAGTCAAATTATTTATAATCACTAGCAAATGAAGTATTGAAAGGACTTGAGAGAAAAACTTTTGCTTATCCTAAATCATCAGAATGGTCCTATAAAGGTCTTGGTTTTCTTTGCTGAACTAGATTAGTTTAGAATTTAGGACAATTTAAAAAATGGTAATATAATCTTGGACATTCTTTTCACTAATGTTTGTTGGATGTTTGCTAGATGTTCCTCACTGTTAGAGCTACCCTGCATATAGAATAAACAAGGTTGATAAAGTTCATAATTATCAAAAACTTTATATTCTTCTGGCATATATTGAGAATAAACAAATTTAGATAATGTCAAATGTTGTTCATGGAGACCAGTGTAAAGGAGATGAATTTAGAAAATGACAACATGATAAGGAGACAGATGGATTTATATGCAATTATCAAGCTATGCATGCACAGAACTATTCATGTGACTGGATGGCATAGATTTGCTTCATGATGAGGATATATGAAAATACTTTTAACTTTTCCATTTGCCCGATAATATTTGTGATACTTTAGACCATGGGTTCTGTAAACTTCTACGTATTCCCTGGGTATGTCACTGGCTAAGTGTGACACTGTGGAAAATTTGCTTAACACTTCTAAGCCTGTATGTTCATCTATAAAATAAGGATTAAATTTAATTCATTAAGTTATTGTAAGATTGAATCCTTTTGTTTTATAGTTAAGTCCCATAGTAAATGGCAAATAAGAACACTGTTGTTACTGCCAATGTTTGTTGTTTTAGGTATTATGCTTTATTAAACATGCTAATTATCACTATCATTTCTACAGTTCATTCTTATAGTGCACAAAGCATTTTCCTTTGCATCTGTGTTTAAGAGTCCTGTGAGGCAGGCAGAATAAATAGTGATTAAAATCTCCATTTTATTAGTGAGAAAGCAGCAACAAAAAACAAGTAACTTGCCAAAGACATATAGCCTGTGAGTTTCAGAGCTAGGCCAAAATCACCCTTGAGTGCACATCCAGATTATAATTATTTTCATTTAAATCACTTTCTTTCTTGTTTGTAGGTCTTGGGCTAATTTCTTGAATAAATGCTCATCATCATTAGCTTTGTGTTGCCAGTTTGGGTTTGTCAGTGACTTATCTACTAAATGTACAGATAACGGAAATGTTAGGACACAGTACTGTAGGTCCTGTTATAGTCTCCTTTTTTCCATTGAGTGAAGAAGGTTTTTATTTTATTTCTCTCTTTCAAGAAATAATGATGAAAAGTGCTTGCAATCTTGTTATCTCATCTGTCAGCAGAATTTACCAATTTGCTATAATTGTTTCCCAACACATTCCAAAAGAGTGAGGAATGATCAAAGAACATTGCCTCTGTCCACAATGACAGTACAACCAGTTATTGGAACCAGCTTCTATCCATCCCACTCCTGCTTTAATGAATGCATTAGGGGACAAAAACCTTTCTCCTCCCATTCTGTTAATATTGCTATAAAAGAAAATAGAACATCTGTAGGATAAATGAGGGGACGTTAGTAAGGTTAGTGGTGCTAAATCTGAAAGTACTATGCCAAAACATGGAAAATTACTAGGCATGATGTGATATTGGCATGAAAGACCCTATTTTATGCTTGTCTGACCAATCTCAAGGCCCCATCAATAACCACACTTGATGAATTATACTGAGGTAGCCAAAAAAATTCAGAGGAATAAAATGGTGCCCTTTGTATGAGAAAAGGACAACTGCTCCACCAGTATAGCTTGTGCTCTACTCTTTTAAAACAAGAAAATTGCCAAGAGACAGCTTGAGGAGTAAGTTGAGAGATCTAACACTGCCTCATCTCACTGGTGCCCATTTCTTCTTGGGAACCCCCTCCTCATCTTCCAAATTTGTCATCATCATAAAGTGATCGAGGACACTCTATGACTTGCTGAACTGAGATAGCTTTGTGTCATTTTGAAGTCAAACACACTTCAGTTTTCCTACTGTAAAATGGAGCCCACATGAGTACTAAGAAACCCTCTTGAGTTATTGTTGTGCAGGGACTTAGAGAAAGAGTGAAGGTATGTGGCGGTATTGCTGCCATTAGAGATGGGAAGGATTTTTGTTGCTTGGCTAATGAACTCATTCTTATCTTTCCTCAACACATGCTTTGTAGATTGGAAAGGGTCTTAATCTAATTCTGCTCTGTTTATGCCGTTTATAGCTTCAGTTCTCTCCTAATTGGTAATGTGCAGAAACAACAACAATGGAGAGATTTGTGTTTGGAGTCAACATCCTAGAACCATTTAGCTATAAGTTCTGTTACTAACTCAAAGACATGCAGTACCTGCCTAATTTCTTTGAATTTTGATTTTTCTCATCTGTGAATAGGGAATTATCCTTGTTTCCCTGGGCTGGTTTAAGCAAAATTGATATTATGGATAAAGAGTTATTTAGCAATTAATAAATATCAGTAGTTCACTTAAAAACAATTGTTAAAAGAATTTCAAAATTGTAAACAATATGTTAAGCATTTTAAAGATGTTTTCTATGTGTAAGACTCTATGTAGGAAATACATATTGTAATATTCACAACAATCACAATCAATTGACATAGGAGGTGTTAAAACTCAGCTATTACAAAAGTTTGCACATGTTCACACAAAGGTTCATACTTAGGCAGCGTTGACTATAGACTATATTGTAAGCTTTACACCTAATAGATTAGTGATATTTCATCAGGAACACTCATTGGTGTCTTGCTTATTGAGAATAGAATGGAAAGAGACCAAAAGCAACATTATAGACAGAGTACATGTTTGTTGATAGTATTTATTTTCTACCTCACAGTAGACTTGCATAGGTGGAGAGCAAATAAAAGTACAATTTTCCTTAAAATCAGATATCACATTATGTCGCAGGAGTCCCACTTAGACTTGTTATACTCTCTGACAGAAATAATAAAAAAATTATTTCCTTAAAACAGGTAAATTAGGGCAGCCAATCTTTATGATTTTCCTGTCCTGTATCTACCCACAGTTATGTTACTTGTCAAATGGAAACCTATGCAATCCAGTGTGTGAATAAGAATAAATATGATCCATTTAAAACATAATTTTAAAACACTTCTTTTCCTCTTCATACTTAGACTCCAGAAGAACTGGAAGATGATTCTGACTTTGAGCAGGAAGATTATGATGTACGTAGCCGGACAAGTGTTCAGACTGAAGATGACCAGCTCATTGCAGGGCAGAGTGCACGGGTAAGAAGACATGCAGATTTTAGTTGACTATGGAGTGGGCAAGGTCACAGAAAAGGTTGGAGAATGTTCTGATTTCCAGAGAATAAGACTTCAGACATTCATGTCTTAGAAATCTTGTCTGAGGTTGCAATGTACATTTTACCCAGTGGATTATCCATTACTGCTCTTGGTTCCATCTAATCTTTCTTTTTGTCACTTGAAACAGAATGGCTGTATCAAAAGAAACTCTAATATGTATAAGAGATTGTATGGCAATTGGGTCATGATTAGATAAAGAAATAGGAGCTCTTAAGTGCTCAAAATTTCTATTGCATAGTCATTATTATCCTGATTCAACTCTTAGTTTGTTATAAAGCCTAAATGCAAATGGAGAACCAGAATGCTACTTTATTGACTAGGCTATTGCTTATGAGATATTCAAGACTACAAGATTCAAGGCCATTGTTACCTACATTGTCAGAACACATCTTCTGCCATATTATAGGAAAAGATATTATAGAAACATAATAGAAATATACTGATTTAAGGGCTGGAGTAGGAAGAAACTCAAAGTACAAGCTTTGTCTGCCAAATCTTTGAATACTCTATAGCACTGTCCACTAAAATAAGTGGAATTAGATCAATGAGATTAGCTGTATTGACTACACAGTAAATTTGGTAATAGAAGCAAGTTGTGAGCAGTGAAGTCCTTAGAAATTGTATAAGAGAGTGATATGTCCTTCTCTTTGAAGTATCGATTTCTGTCAAATAAAAACAATCAAATTATAGTACAATGGAGAATTAAATATTCTAATTTTTGTTAACTTTTACTTAGGAATTACATATTCTAATTCTCTGTTGAACTTAAGAAACTATTATGAATGAAAGTATGAAGTTGAGAGAGAAATGGCAAATGAATTACTGTAGATAAGAGATAGAAAATTCCAGAAAGTTCATACTGCCTTAGAAATTATGAAAGAAAATTAGGAAGCAACCAATCAGATGTTATAATAAAAAGCACTCCAAACAGGAAATATTAGCAGGGCACTCATGGTTTATGTCCAGAATCTTAGATACTCAGGAGGCTAGGATCTGAGGATCGTGGTCTGAAGCCAGCTCAGGCAGGAAATTCCTTGAGACTCTTCAGGATAGAGTCCAAATATACTTTTTTCCCCCAAGCATCCTTCAATAATAGAAGCAAATTAAGATTGTTCATCTTTGCATCAATCATTTCCTCACACTATTGCCTTTTTTGAAAGTTTTTTTTTGAGCATGAAAATAAACATGGTCCAAGATAAGAGCAAAATCCTGTTATCATCTAGCACTTGTCTGTGAGGTCCATCATGTATTTTCCATGATTAATTTGCAGCAGACAGCTTTACATATTCAGTCAGCTTACTTTAGCCTGTAATTACATGATGACAAAATCAGAGACATAGAATTATGGCTGTTAAGTTGGAAATAGAGGGTGCACTGAGTGGCCAAGATGATAGAGGGTCAAACTTTTGACTAGCAAAATGTGATAAGCTTGTCAAAATTATGAATAAGACAGATTTTATCTTTGATAGAGCTATTAGCTTTTCTCAGAAGAGAGTCCCTGTTCATGGACTTATTTTGTAGTCTCATGCAGAGAAATCCATCCATCCTGAAAATGGAAATTAATCTAAAAGGTGATAATAGGAGACAAGTTTTTAGTATTCTCTTCCACCATTGCTCTCAAATTCTAGAATTAGAACATTTCCTATTTCCTTTATATGCTCCTGTATATTGCTTATCTACATTTTAAGGGAGACTCAGAGAAAGAATGGGAGTATGAATGAATGTTGTGGTAGAAATATAATAATAAACACAGTGAGGTCATCTCACCCTCTGATCTTAGACATGATATGTTTATTTTCCTTTTTTGTTTTGAATATTTTATTCAAATAGTTGTACAAAGGAATTGCCATTCACCAAAATTCACTAAAACAGTTTATGAATATAGTGCATCTTGATCAGGGTAACCTCTTTCAATATTCTCACCTACCCCTTCCAATACTTACCTTAATTTTAAGTTATATGTTGATTTTTTTTGCCACATAACATAGTAGATCATGTGTATAATGCATTTTGATCTGTGCCATCAATTGAACCTCTTCACCCCTCATTTCAACCCAATTCTGATTGTACAGTTCTCAATCCTGGGGTATATGCAATAAATTCTTGCCTGCCTTCTCCTCTTTTCCCCTTTCATACTTCTATCCCTTCTCCCATTGGACTAGATGGAGAGCACAAATAATATAATTCTCTAAAAAGACTAAATCAAAGCTCAACCAAATACATACTAGGCATGATACCTATGACCTATTTCTTTGTAGGGTGACATAGTTAAAATTAGTCAGTGAATTTTTCCTTAGCAACAGAATATATTACACAGAATCTTGTAGACTTGGTCTTTAATTATGAATTTGGCAAAGATGTGTGACTTCAGGGGAACTTTCTTAACCTTTCCATGTCTCATCTCTTTGTGGTTACAAGGGTGGCACATAGCTTTTTACATTACAATGACATTAGGAGAAGTGCATTATAAAAGCATATCGCAGGATTTGTCATATGGCTGTGCAATGATTTTTGTGTTCGTGATAAGGATAATGCTGTTGCTCCTAACTTAGGATGGTAAGTCATTAGGAGACTTGCCAAATAATTTAACCTTATAAATCTGGATAATTCAGGCAATCATGGGAGTTTTAAATTGAATTAATAGAAAAATTACCTCAATTTTCTAACTCATTACAGAGTCTGAGTTTGGTAAAAGTCAAAAGGCCTGACTCTTTGAAAACTTAGATTTGTTATTCTACTTTAAAAAGTGAGTAGCAATGGCATATTGAATTTTCATCTCCTTTCATCATTATTTATCAATATTTTTTACTGGAGGCCTTGACATTAAACTCTTGATCTATACATGTAAGTTTGGTGGCCCATATGCTTCAATAGTGAACATTGGGAAAATACGTGTTTTTGCAGACTTAGGTTGAAGATGCATTTGAGATTAAGTTGAATGCTTTCTGTTTTTTTTTTTTTTTTTTTTTGGTAGTTTTACACTTTGGAGGAAAGATGGGGACCTGAAGTGAAGGGTAGGAGTCTTTATAGATAAAAATGTCTGCAGTTTTGACTCTAGAGCAGCCAGATAAACCATCAGAAGAGCTGGGCTGGGCTGAAGCAAATAGAACAGAAACTGAATGCCCACAAATCACCTCACAAAGACAGTGAAGCTGATTTGTCCTTTTGGCCTTTAGCCTTGAAAAGAATTCTCACTTTCCCATAGTTTCAAGGAATGAACAACTTCATGTCATGTATTTTATATGAAATTTAATTTTAATGTAGACAGTCTTTATTTTCTCTCTAGCTAGAATGGCTTTAATGTGTTAACATTTCAAACTGCTGAGTTACATTGATAAGACCTAATTAAAACTCACGTGTTGAATTTTAATTTGATTAACTTGCAAATTTTGCAGTTTGCGATCTACTGTTTATAGATAACCTTTTTTTAAATTCCAGTTTCAGAAAAGGTCAATTATGAAATTTTAAAAGCCAAGAGCATTTAAAAATATTTAGGAAAAGAGTTCAGCTTATTGATAGCTACATAAGCTGAAGTAAATGTAATGACATTTGGCCCCAAGTCACACCCCATTAAGTGCTTTATGCGGGTCAAGAACCCTAGAACCAAAATAACATCTTCCTTTCAAAATCCATTTTGGAGGGGCTATTACTTCAGAATCGTGTCCTTAGAAAATGTTTGTCAGTCTGGCAACTTCTCTTGAATTATGTTGATTCAGTGAGTGAAATAATGTTTAAGCAGTCAATCAAAAGGTATTTACTGAGCTTCTTTTGTGAGCAGGATGTGAATATATCTGTCTTAAAGAAATATATCAAGAGCTCAGGGTCAGGCACATTAATAGGAATCAAAGAGAATAAAGCAAGGAAGTTAATATTCAAGTGATGAATTGTACAATGAAAATTCAAGTATCATTGTTGACAGAAAAATGTATACCTTTGAATGCACAAATTAATCTTTGGATGACAATGAAAGATACATTTTTTTCTACCTGGACACTGAATATGTTCAGACTTTACAAGTCTGGAATCTACTGTTCAATATATATATATATATATATATATTTCAATATTCAATATATATATTTCTTTTTATAGAGACACACAAAGTAAATCTATTTTGTAGTAGTGGTTTAAGACCCATACTATCTAAAAAAATAATCTGATTAGTTCTTTTGTATGATAAGGCTTTATAAATGTAAGGGAGCATTGGGACATCTGGCAAGGATACTTTGAAGAAAAAAATGCACATTTTTGATAGACTATCAAAATGTAACAGGATGTTTACCTTTAATTAATATAGTATTACAAATGTGTTTATGTCAAACTCTTGCATCATATGCCCTTCTTAAGTTCATAAAAGTACTTCAACATAAATTTTGATGTGTAGAATTTTAAATATTTTAATTATAGTATTTAAAACAGTCTGGCTTTTAAATTATGTATTATAATTTTATACACATATATAAACCCATATTCTATGAAGTCAGACTTAGGTATGCATTAAAGTTAGCAGACATGTCAATCTTCTAACAAAAAGATGCTACACCTGGACAGCCAGTAGTCCAAGAACACATTTCTGTGAATCAGACAAAGATGCCCCCTTTTCTCAGCATATGAAGCCTCAATTCAAGGATGTAGAGCATGGTGGGCAATGCTTGTGCTTTTAGACTCACTCCTTTGCCCTACTGGGCTGGAAATCCTGTGCAGAGGGTCCTGTGTGATATATGGCCTTTTATAGTAGTGTTATTGTTCATAATGGTCAAAAATGGTATTTGCCTAGGTTTGAGTTCATTTCTACAGCTTGTAAATTACATGGTCAGGAATTTAATTCATTTCCCTAGGCCCAGATGTCCTCATTATTAAAATAGGAATAATAGGCGTACTAGAATGATTGAGTAGATTTATTTGACATACATAAACATCAATATAATATTGGTATCCATGTATGTATTCAAGCAATCATGCCTGTCTTCTTTCTATTTGTAGATAGCTACAGAGACTCTGGATTCATGTCTTCCTTTGTCAGTAACTAAATAATATGCTAAGGATAGATGGGGAAAAAATCTTAACAGCAGAAATAATGGTAAAATAATGCAAATAATAATATCATGTGGGGTTATCATCAATTTATTTTTGTGGGCAAAACCTAGTTTACTTGCTACCTACCATTTTTGGATATCATTACTTATTATTCTATGTTATGTAAGAAACTAAGGATAGCCATCAGGTCTTGACCCAAGTAATCGGTAGAGCCCATTTCTCTGTAATTTCATGTCCATCGATATTTCTTTTAGACCCTAGATTTTTTTTCCTCCAATCAATTCACTCACATTAGGTCAAGATTTATGACTTACATGGAATACCCCCTAAGTCATGCTTTTCTGGTCTCCTGTAAAATCCATGCATCCCAGAACCAGAGGAAATGCAGAAGTAATCTCCCTAGGCTCCTGTCTGGGAGAATGTAGTGAGGTGAAATGTTACACATTTCACTTAGAATCTGCTGCAGAAATGGTGTTTAGCAAATATAGTCAACTCTCATTATTGTTGGTAGTTATGGTCTATAAAGTAACCATGAATTCCTAATGAGTGGATTTTTTAATCATTGCTCCCAAAGGACAGACAGAGTAAGGCTCCTAAGGCTTGTAATTCACCATTTTCTTCATCCTATCAATATATAGCCAAATTTAATGGGTGTTTCTAGGTATACATTTTATATTTTTGATTCATTAACACTGAACTCAAGGCCAGTATCACTAATGAGTGTTTAAACAAAGCTGTCTAGCAGACATTGTCTCTCCATGAAGCACATCACAGCTTTCTGGTGCTCAGGGACACTAGACCTTTCAATATTATGCTTGGGTACCATTTTCAAACAGTACCATGTCCAACTAAAAAAACACTAAATAGACCACAAAGAGGACAATTGTTCACATTATGGGCTGGAAAAAGAAGAGAATTGACTTGTTCATCCTTATCTAGATTTATTTATGTCAAATAACTCATTTTTTTTGCTGCTGCTGCTTTTTCCATTATTTGCAAGTAACTGCAAAAATATTTCAAGTATTGATCTTTGGGTTTACAAATATAATGGAGTGTTGGCAAAATTTGCAAAGGAAGAGTCTATAAATTATGTTAAGGAAGGATATTCTTTCATTTCTTCATTTCCTTACTTAGCAACTATGGGGAAGAAATCTTTGCTTCCCAATTCTGTACAAGTTGAGCATTCCCAATGTGAAAATCCAAAAATCTGAAATGCTCTGAAACTTGAAACATTTCAAGTACTAAAATACAATGCTCAAAAAAATTTCAAATTTTGGAGCAGTCTATGTTGACGCTGCTCAATAAAGTCTGTATTAGCATTCTCAAACTCCTCGGCCAAATTCCCAAATCTGAAACACATCTGGCCTTAATGTTTTGGTTAAGAGAAAACTAACCTGTACTTTTCTCCTGTTGTAACCCTGCTGCAGGAAGCTATGGGTAGCCATGATTTTAACCTACAAGGTGATGGAGGATAGAAGATAAGAATGGCATGGGACGCCCTAAGGACCCCAATTGTTTGGCATCTCTGTGGATGCTTTCATTTGCAATCCTGAAACCCATCCTACTCTATTTGGATGCTCATATATTGTTTAAAATTCCTTTCCTCAGCATCAGAAGGCCTTTTTTTTCTTTTTTGACTTTTCTCAACATATTTCAGTGTTGAAAGAGGTACATTCTTTCATCTGGTAAAAGTTTTCTGAGACCAAATATAAAAATTGTCACGAATAGAGTCTTTTGAAAAAAAAACATGTGTCATCAAAGAGACAGAGGAGTTCTGTTACTGTCACTGCATATGTACTTTTGGATCTTTCTATCTTTTATGTATGGAAGTGGGGACAGGGAATTGGGGGACCCAACAGGCCTGTATTCTTGGTTCCCTGTGATGTAGAGGAAATACATTTCACAATGGATAATCATCTCCTCAACCGTTTCCAGGTCTGATTCTGCCATCCACAGGATACAGAGTCCACATACATTCTGTACTACCTTTGTCACTATTACTAATGTGTTTTCTCCCTGTAAATCACACAGGCCATCATGGCTCAATTGCCACAGGAAGAGAAAGCAAAAATAGCAGAGCAGGTGGAGATATTCCACCAAGAGAAAAGCAAGCTGGATGCTGAGGTAGCCAAGTGGGATGACAGCGGTAATGATATCATCGTTCTGGCCAAGCAGATGTGTATGATCATGATGGAAATGACAGACTTCACAAGGTGAGGTGCAGAGGAAGGGAGATGAAGAGTTTGTCATTAAACCTAGATCTATAACAGCGAAAGCCTCCTGAAACCGTAAAATGCTACCTCGAAGCAAGGTGGTGGTGTTGGAAATTTATATGCATAAATCAAAACCATGGGCTGGACTTCTGGTAGATAGGTTTGTTTAGATAACGATAACACTCATTTGTATTGGTATTAATTATCCTAAGGCAGTCATAAAATCAAGCCCCTAAGGAATGGCTGACTCGTCTCTCATCTGTGCTATTTTGGAAGGTGTTTAAATATTATTCTGAAGATAAAGTAAATTATCAATGTCCATTTGGGGGGAAAAGGGTGTGTATGCCTGTATGTATGTATTACAATAAGTTGCCATACTATCTCATTACCTCACATTAATTTCAGCATGTAGTTCACCTTTATAAGGAATCAGATACAAGAACTTCAGATTCCAGGGAAAGTGAAAATCATGTATGTGGTATTGTCTTTAGTTCTGAGCAATGCTTTTGATAATTACAGAGACAAGTAAAAATTTTGTCAGGAGTCTTTTCTGCATCAGAGATCACTGCTATGTCTACCATGGCCTTTTGTTTGCTTTTGTAAAGGTAGGGTACAAGTCTCTCTTTCCAATCACACAGAATAAACTTAAGGGAGACCAAAATTCAATTCTTTCTTTTTTTTTTTTTGGGTCCGGTCGTGGGGCCTGAACTCTGGGCCTGGGTGCTGTCCCTCAGCTCTTCAGCTCAAGGCTAGCGCTCTACCACTTGAGCCACAGCGCCACTTCCGGCTTTTTTCTTTTTGCTTATGTGGTGCTGGGAATCGAACCCAGGGCCTCAGGCATGCAGGGCAAGCGTTCTACCACTGAGCCACCTTCCCAGCCCCTTCAATTCATTTTGAGTCAGAATATCAGGTGATTGGGGACAAGTCTCTTATTGTCTTTCTAGTTGCGAAATGATGAGATCACACTTGTCCTATTATGTCCAAAGTTTTTACATCCATAGAAGTAATACAAGTATTAATTATATTGTCAAACCAAAGTCAACTTTTGTTTTATGGCATTGTTAAAAATACACACAAAGATGTTTTAATGATACAACATACTTGCTATTAAAACTATGTAAGATGGAAGTAATTTCAATGCATCACACATCACATGGGTAACAGTTTTTAATAGTTGTTGAATGCTTGTAATAAGAGGACAGGGTTGATTGTAGGTTGTAATTAAATATGGAACATCTCTGAGTCATCCCCTTTTACCCTTTGCCTCTGACCAATATGTACTAATGACACTGCTTGGCTTTTTTTCCCCAAAATATTTTAAAATGGTTTTTGACTTCAGTGAAATGAGTTCAGTGTTGTAAGGGTGACCTTCAAGACTTTTAAATATCATCATATTTATTAGAAGTTCAAATTTGTACATTGAGTTAGTGTTCTTCATCTACACAAATATATTTCACAAAAGTAACATTAGGAAAAATGTCTTAAGCCATCATTTATGTCTGAATTTCATACAAGTCAGACTCATGGCAGCTTTAGTCATTGTTTCCCAAGGCCTATAATGACTTAATTTGCTTGCTTTCAACATTTTATTGGTATCTTATCTGATGGATATTATGCAATCCATTAATAACATCACTGGAACAAATAATCTCATTAGTCTAAAGTGAATAATGGATCTAGCCATGTTGCTAGGCTTGATGGGGAGAACATTTTATAATTCTCCTGTTTATCTTTAACTGTGAATAATGCAGAGAAATATCTTTGAGTGGATCATGTTAGGGGATTTTGTTAAGACAGACTTTTTATTAATCAAAGGTGTAATTTTTAAAAATGCTGGGTCAATTCCCTAGGGATTTTAAATAATAATTTCTACCATTTTAAATAATGGAATGTCCAGAATGTTGCCAATTATCATTTTCCCCACTGTATGAGTCTTTTTGTGCTTCTTCATGAGTGCAGGAGAGGAATAGGGCAATAAAATAAGAAGCAGAAGAGGCTGTACGTGCAGGTACAACAGAAAATAGAGGCAAGCTACTGCTTCCTTCTGTATAACCTGGCCTTTGCAAGAAGCAGGGCCTTTCCTTTGTGGCCTGTCACCTAAGTTCACTCCACATGGCTTCATATGTTATTATTATTACCCTTGTGTTTTGTACTTCAGGGTGAAAAACTTCATCCTAAGCACTCCCATGAACTATTTTTTTTTTCTCTTTAAAAGAAAGGATATGGCTGATTAGCAATTAAAGGTTGGCTACTCTTCTCGATTTGTATTTTTAAAGGCAATGCAGGTACAAAATGTGCTCTTGCATTTATTATCTTGTTGTTTTATTCTTAGCGCTGGCTAATTCATTAATTTGATTCGGTAATCTCGATGATATCCACTCTATTATTATTAGAATAGGAGAGGTTCTGCCTCATTATTCATGTAATAACTTCTTCATGGAGTAGAAAACTGATTATGCTTCATGTCTTTTTTTTCTGCTTTGTTCTTGACACTCATCTCATGGGCAATGTCAGTCGCAGTACCATCACTGGGTGAATGTTTTCTGTTCATATCATTTTTGAGAAATACTGTGTTCTGGTTCTATGTCCCAATAACAAGAAAGGAAGATAGCAATTGCTCAGATTTCAGTCATGAGCAACAAGCAAAATTGTCTTTTAAAAATCAACCTTAAGTTTTGAACTTACATTAAAAAAAATATTCTAGAACAGTTAACGTCCTGCTATGATTCCCAGACCTCCCAAAACTTTCCAGATACATTCAATTGCTTTATTGTGCATCTTCCTAGTGTGTTAACGGATGGGAGAAATTTCCTAAAGCAGATTGTATGATCTGAAAACAGCTTCATGTGGTCCAATGTATTTGCAAACACCCTCCTTATATTATTTCCTTATTGAAGATTTCCCTTTGATGTTAAACAAACAGAGAGAGATGTAGAAAACAAACCATTTAAACTTAAGTTAATTCAGAATTTATATTCTGAGGCTGGGTAACTCAGAATGTTGGTTGCTTTTGTTTGTTGTTTGCTTTTTGATGAGCTGTGATTTATCGATTGCCTTCTTTCCTGGAAAATACATGATTTTGTTTCTTTTGATTAGGTATGGTACAGTATTTTTTCTTACAAAGTTACTTTATCCAGGTTCTCAAATCATATACATTTTGAGGAAAGGAGTTTTTTGATGCTTTGAGTTTTCTGCTTCCTAAGGTGATTTCAAACCATACTCATTTTAGTTTTGAATATTTGTTCTCATATATATATCTATATTCTGACTCAATTTTAGGATTGATTAATTCTAGTGTGTTATATTTTCTTACTCATTAATCTCTTCTTTTAATTTTGTTTCTTCCTATTCTAAATTTTAACTTAGATAATTTTTTTTCTTTTGTCCCTATTTCTTTTGTCACATATATGGAATTAGGAATTTTTTTTCTGAGCATATTACTTTTACTGTTCTTTAAGAGAGAACCATATTTAGCAAAAAGTGTACTAAGTTGTTATTTAGGATGCAAAGCTTCCTGTCTCATTTCTCTGCCTGTATATAAAATCCCTCTAGTATGTCACATAGGTTTCTTCTGAGCGTTTTAGTCCTCAACTATGAGAAAATATTTGGTTTTGTAAATTTTTTGTGGTTAATTTCCTAAGCTATTTTGACCTCACCCCTACGCATTTAGCTTTGTACTCCCAGGAATTTGAATTGAGTGTAAATGTGAATTTTGAAGTTAAGACTTTTTGTTTCTATAACAAGTCTTAGCAAGTCCAGGATTTGTAGTTTTCAGTGGAATACAAAGAATATGCTTCTTTTCAGTCTAACTACAGGACCATGGGCCTGAGACTCAAGGAAGTACACAGTCTACATAGATGTCCTTTACTGACTTTGCACATTGTGAGAATCTGTTGAAAGTTTTCATGTAAAGATAATGAGGAAGCATTTTCTTAGATCCTTTGAAAGTCTTCAAATAACACATATTTCTTTAGCAATGAAAATTCAGAGTGCAGCTCTTATTAAAGACTAAGACAAAGGGAGAAAAAAGTGGCATGTGTTATACCAGCAGGAAAAAAACAAAAACAAAAAAAAACTACATGAGAAAATTTCTAAGACTTGAAAGTTAGATGAATACACACTATGAGCATTAATATATTCTGCATCCACTCTTCCTTTAGAAAAAAAACAGAAAAATGACCCTAAGTATGGGAGTAACTAACGGAAAATAGGAGGATGAACAGAGAGGGTGATGGAAGTTGAATGTGGTCAAATGTGTGCCAGTGTGAAAATAGAACAATGAAGCTTGTTAAGATTCCTTTGGGAAATGGGGGAAGGGAGAGATGAGGGAGTGTGAAGGAGGGGCTGAGTCTAAACAAGGTCTATTGTATGGATGAATATATGGGCATATCAAAATGAGATCTCCTTGTACAACTTAACTGATGCTAACAAAAATGCAAAACAAAAATTACAAAAAGAAGGAAGCTTAGAGAAAATGACAATTGTCAAGGAACAGGAGCCAGATTATTACAGGATCTTTAACTCATCCTTGCTACATAAAATTTACATGTCTATTCTCTGTTCATATTTTAAAATCATAATGGAAGAGTTAAGATTGAGAATGTCACTAAATGTGTGTTTAAACATTTATATAAACCTGATATATGTTCCTTTTGCTCCTAATGCAGAATAATACCAGAAGGAGAATGAAGGAGAAAACAGAAAAAAATGTTTTATTTGAATTTTAAGCCTTCCATTTAGTAAAATTTTATTATGTAACAATGGTGATCATTGTGCAGCACCATGTGGTCTAAACAAGTCCCTTCTGAGGACATTTTCTCTCCATTTCATTCCGTCACACTTCTAACTATAGGAGTTCAATCCTTAGACTTAAAAAAATATGCACTGATTTTTAGATGCACATAAGGATGGAGACCAGGAAAAGTAACAATGCTAAAAAAAAGAATAAACATATTTAGCCTATTCCTTATTTACCTCTCAAGAAGAGGGAATGAAGTTAAGGCACATTACAATTTGTTTAAAGGTTTACGACAGGGCATAATTTCCTTTGCCTTTGTAATCACTATTTTAATTTAAAGAGTTTACTTGAATTGAAAGCCAGATGTGAAAATATTGAGGTCCTGGTCTGGCAGCATAAAGACAGCTTCAGTTTCAATGTTTTAATTGTCTCTTCTTAAGTCAGTACCAGAAGAATAAAACACAAAAAATTTGCAATTTTAAAATTTCTGAAGTTCTAGTTAGGCATTCCTCAGTTATATGAAGAGACTAACTTCTCAAAGCACCACAGTAGACTCAAAAATTCAATCATACACATATGCTAGTCAGGCATGAGAGGCAATGCATGTGCCTTTATTTTGTCTTGACTCTGCTTAAATTTTAGAATGCATCACTTATTATCTGTCTAAGTATACACAACAAGTTAAGTGCTTTGAGCCATTAGTAAACTAGAAATGATACTTTCTTACTAGCATTGTCATATAGATGAAATAGGGTCTATAACAGCACCAGGTTCATATCAAACATTATGTACTAAATATTCATTGCTCTTATGATGAGCATCATTTCAAATTGACCACTATATAAAAATAATAGAAATCTACAAGATGATAAAATGCAAACATGCATATTCAAATATAGGAAACTATTCCCATAGCGAAAAAAAAATAGATGATTGTCATGAATTTGATGTATACCCCCCACAAAAAAAAAACACTGAAAATGTCACTGGCATAGCCAGTGCCATATACAATACAAAACTAAAGTCTCAGACAAAAGATATTGTAGGCTTGTCCATTTTCTATCAGGAAGTAAATTTCTAACTATGCTGTATATGTTATTTCAGAGGCAAAGGGCCATTGAAAAATACATCAGATGTCATTAATGCTGCTAAGAAGATTGCCGAAGCAGGTTCTAGAATGGACAAATTAGCCCGTGCTGTGGCTGATCAGGTAATGTAAGAGGAAGAGCTGGCACATGGTGAGAAGAATTACTAATCAGCCCTGGGGTTCCGTACTCAGTTTTACATATCCAATAACTTGCCTCTGAAGAATGTATTTCAGACAATCACTATTGTTTTACAAACTGGCTTTTGCCTCTGCTGAGATGGCAAAGGTTGATTTGGCTCAGAAAGGCTCCTAAGGTTTATGACCAAATCTACTTAGAAAAGAAGAGCATTTGCTATGTAGGAGATGTCATCCATGAGTAGGCACAGATTCTCTAAGCCATGCTATTCAGAAGATCATTTATAATATATAATGTGGCATAAACAAAGAAATGGAACTGTTTTTGTTGGACAATTTCATTTTATAAGAAATCCCTACCTAAAACCCTTTTATTTGGTTTTATTTTCCCAAAACTTTTGACAAATAATCTTTAATGCTATGCTTTTTTCTGCCTGTTTCTCTCAGAAAAGTTTAGAAGACAACTTTGTTAACCAGCTACATGAAAAACTAGTTAGAAAAATAACAACCTTCCATGTGGGCAGGGAATTGGATTGTCAGAGGTTTATAGATATAATGGGTCACAATTAATTAGAAGACATGGAACCTACCATGACTAGAATGTGAACTAGGTGGTATCATGTGGAGAACAGGCAGAAAGATAATTTGGCTAACCTGAGAGTTCTCCATGGTTTTAAAAGCAGTATTAAGAAAGAATAATAAGAAAAGCATAACAATAAAAGCATACCATTTATTATTAAGTATTGATTTTCTCTAATAGGCTTCATAATTCATAATCATTTATGCTCTACTATATATAGAATTAGTATGCATGATCAAGAACTTTCTGGTTTCAGTTATATTTTTTACCCAGACTTATCTAGAATATTTGAGTTTATTTCCCCCTTTTTCATTTTATTTGGCTTGAAGTAGAACTCTAAAATCCTGCTGGAATTGTCTTGTGCAATAAAGTTACATTTCTTTGTATGAATATTTTAGGCAATAAATCTTTCCAGCTGACAAACAATTTATCCCTTTAAACAGACTTCCTGAAAACATTACAGGAAGGAATAGGAGAAACTCTAGGACTCCTTGGTACAGGCTGAGTTTTCTTAATAGAGACCCAGAAGCACAACCAATCAAAGAAAGATTGGACAAATGGGATTGCATGAAACTGCAGAGCTTCTGCAAGGCAAAGGACATAGATAGCTAGCAAGATCAATAGAAAGCCCATGGATTGGGAGAAGATCTTCATTAGCCATACAACAGACAAGGGTCTCATATCTAAAATATACTTAGAACTCAAAAACCTAATCCCCCCAACAACAAATCCTCAAAAAAACAACTGCCCGATTAATAAATGGGTTAAAGACTTAAAGAGAGACTTCTCTGAAGAGGAAATAAGAATGTCCAAAGACATATGAAGAAATGCTCAACTTCTCTAGCCATAAAAGAAATGCAAATCCTGACAACATTGAGATTCCACTCACCCCAGCTAGAATGGCTATAATCAAGAAATCTAGTAACAACAGATCCTGGAGGGGATGTGGCCAGAAGGGAACCCTACTGCATTGCTGGTGGGAGTGTAAAGTTGTTCAACCACTTTTGAAAGCAGTGTGGAGGTTCCTCAAAAGACTCCACATAGAGTTCCCTTATGACCCAGAATCCCACTTTTGGGCATTTACCCAAAAAATCACAGACAAAGACAAAGCTATCAAGACAAAGCTATCAGCACAACCATCTTTCTCACAGCATTATTTACCATAGCTAAGTGTGGAACCAATCCGGATGCCCCTCAGTAGATGAATGGATCAAGAAAATGTTGTATATACATACAATGGAATTCTATGCCTCTGTCAGAAAGAATGACATTGCCCCATTTGTTAGGAAATGGAAAGACTTGGAAAAAATTATATTAAGTGAAGTAAGCCAGGCCCAAAGAAACATAGGTCCCATGATTTCCCTTGTTTGCAAAGACTAGTACATGTCTAGGACAAGCAGAGAAGGTCAAAGACTATGTACAAATGACCACATGAGATAATGTTAAGCAAAATGTACCCCAAGACAGGGACACAAGTGGTTTTTTTCTTTCTTCCTAGTGTTTTTTTATTAAATATCTTCCTAGTGTTTTTTTATTAAATATGATTTTTATTGTAAAAATACTATACAGAGGGGTTACAGTTACATGAGCAAGTTAAAGAGTACATTTCCTATCAAGCAGTGTTACCTCCTCCTTTGTTTTTCCCCTATCATCCCTTCCCTCCCACCTCTACAACTACACTATCCCCTCCCCACTTCTCCCCTCTCCCTGCCTAAATTGTAAAGTTCTTTTTTCAATTTAGTGTCTTGTTACATCTCATTGTTACAATGGGTCAACCTGTATCCCTATTTAAGCATTTTGTTTTTTCCCTTCCCCTCCCCAAGCTAGAGAATTGTATATACAAGATACAGGGCACCAGACATCAACCCAGTGAAATGTACTTATAGTGCACAATGTGATTCTTTTGTTTCTTTTCTATGTTCTTCCTCCACAGTATAACCCCTATTTTCACTGGATTTGATGCCGTTGTCCTGCATCTTGTATGTACATTTTTGTAATTTGAAGAGGGAAAAGAATATAGCAGAATGCTTACATTGGGATGAAGGTTGACCCATTGTGATGACAAGATGTACAGGACATTATGTTGAAAATGAACTTTACAGGGCTGGGAAGTTGGCTCAGTGGTAGAGCGCTTGCCTTGCATGCCTGAAGCCCTAGGTTCGATTCCTCAGCACCACATAAGCAAAAAGAAAAAAGCCGGAAGTGGCGCTGTGGCTCAAGTGGTAGGGCACTAGCCTTGAGCTGAAGAGCTGAGTGACAGCACCCAGGCCCAGAGTTCAGGCCCCACGACCGGACCCCCCCCCCCAAAAAAAAAAAAGAAAAGAAAAGAAAATGAACTTTACAATGTCAGGGTGGAGGGGGAGGGAAGTGATGGTGGGGGAAAACAAAGGAGGAGGTAACAATACCTGTTAGGAAATGTACTCATTACCCTACTCATGTAACTGTAACCCCTCTGTACAACATTTTTACAATATATATATGTGTGTTTATATATGTATATATATAACAGTTCAAAACAGTTTACAGTTTGAACTCTTTCAAACATTATATCAATATGAATCTGAAATATATCACATGTACCATTGTAATTTCTAATTTGGCGGTTGTATGTCAGGCTTCACAGCATAAGTTGAGCTTCTTTCTCCAAAGTTGTATATATATTGCAGAAAGTTTATGCTAAAGAAAAGGAAGACAATGGATCTAATTGAAAATATGTAAGCAAACAAAAAAAACACCACTATTCAAAAAAAGGAAGCCATTCTCTTGTTTGCAAATGTACAGAGTTATTAGAAACTGATGGTGAGTAGACTTCTTAGGAAGGGCTTCTTCCAGGGAGTGAAAATTCACTGGATGTCCAAAGGCTTTTCTTGATACCTTGACTCTGAATGACTGAAACTCTCTCAGTGTGATCTTGTTTATGTTCTTACATTTTTGGATCGTTCTGGTGAACATTGCAACATGAAGTATTGTCAAGATTTCTTTTAATACATGGTAAATGCAGCACCTACATAGAAAAACTATACACAGACACAGACACACAGACACACACACACACACACACACACACACACACACACACACACACACACACACACACACACACACACACACACACCAGTTCCAGAGGATTCTGGATTTATTTTGAGATTAAATGACAGAGCATTGAACTAATTTTTAAAGGAAATGAAGTTTAAGCCTAACTTATTCTTAGTGTCATGAGCTATATGAAATGCCTTTCAGTTTTTGGTAGATTTGTCTCTGAATGGAGCATTTCTGTCTCAATTATTACAACTATTTCCATGGTACAGAGAATATTTTTCTTGGCCTTTAATGCTCTTTTAAATATGTATTTTAACCACTTCAGTTTAAATAATAAAATAGAATGAGCATTACCAAAGAGGGGATTGGTTGCCTTTGTTTTGCTTGAAACTATTTTTTTTTTGCTTGAAACTATTTTTATGAAGATTTGAGATATATATGCAATGTAAACTTTTTTACGGAATGCTTCATTTTTAATTACTGTTCCATTGAGATAGAACTCTCAATTTGCTGCAAGGTATTTGTGTTGAAAGCCTTGTCAGTCCTCTGGGGAGATATAATTTTAAAGTTAATTCTTTCTAGTATATGAGTCCCTGGAGTAGGATAAACATTACAATATTAAGTACTTGTAGAAAGCTAAAAACAGTGTCTCTGGGATTCATTCTTGACAAATGTAATCAGTGCAAAATATACTACAATAATGTTTTGTATAAAAGAAACTCCTTTATTGTTTATTCAATAATGGTTATGTTCAACCATTGGCTCTAGTGTTCATAAGATATTTCTTTTCTTGAGCTTGAAAATTTAATGTTTTCTACCTTTGTTTTGTGGTACTAGAGGCTGAAGCCAGTATCCGCACATTGTAGGCAAGTACACTACCACTGAGCTGAAGTTTCAGTCTCATGATTTCATTCTAAATAATGCATTCCAATTTTGGATATAGATACTTTTTCTGCTGTATTTCACCAAACATCTTGTGGTTAAATGTTCTTTTTAAGTGCCAAATTGAACCAGACCAATTAAATAGCATGGAAGAAGCTCAAACTAAACATTTGGTAGCAAAAGAAATATACTTAAATTACTTTGTAGACATTAGCATTAAGCCTCAGAACTGTTTCAAAGAGCCATGTATGTTGTCCATAGAAATATTCTATGTGTACTTAATGGACATCTACCCACTGTAGTTACAGTGACAATGCAAACACTCCAGTGAGAGTGGACTCTGATGTGTCCATTGAAAGACTCTGTTGTTGGTCATATGAATTTATTTTAAATGGCTCAGGTTTATTGTGATATCTCTGCTGCAATGATTATGAAAGATTCTTTTATCTAAAGACATGTATTATGTTTCAATTATGTTTTTCAATTATCCTGTTTCAATTATGTTTTTATTAATAGAAAAATCCAGAAAGTGAGATCAACTTTTTAGTGAATGGGGTATTTCTCAGAAAATGAAGGGAAACAAAAAATGATACTTTACTCAGCTTATTGAATTTGAACACTCCCCTATACCATGGCAGAGAGATTACCACATATAAAGATGTACTTTTAGCATCCCTTGCTTGACTTGTTATAAATTAGGTTTCCATGCAGTGAAGGTTGAAGAAAACTAAAATAACTCACTGCAGAATATTTAGTTTTCTATAGAGTAGAGGATAACTCATGAAAAATAGCCATAAACATGAAGATATCCCAATTCAACATCTAAATCATCTTCAATAATGCCTTTACAACAAGAAAATGGTGAGGCAAAGGATGAAGGGGAACCTATGCAGCAGTGATACTCACAAGAGAGTATGTTGGAAATGGTCTGTACAGCTCAAGGCAGTGGTTGGGGGGAAGGTAAAGAGGGAGAAAAATGAGGGAGGGTGTAACAAGTTAGACAAGAATCGTAATCACTACCTTACTTACGTAACTGTAAACTCTCTGTTCATCCGCTTGACAATAAAATTTTAAAAAAATAATAAAAACAAGGTAAAGCGAATCAGTCTAAACTACTGCAAGTGGCCTTTCTCAAATGTGTTATGAAAATACTGAGTGAAAGGAGTATAATTAAAGTATATATCACTGAAATCTTTGCATCCTCCAGCTTTTATACAGCAAGTGCTAGAAACTGAAGAGTACTTACTAATTGAGATCACTTTTTTTTTTTATAGTGTCCTGATTCAGCATGTAAGCAGGATTTATTAGCCTACCTTCAGCGAATTGCCTTGTACTGCCATCAGCTCAATATCTGCAGCAAGGTGAAAGCAGAAGTGCAGAATCTGGGAGGAGAGCTCATTGTGTCAGGGGTAAGCTGGGATTTGGACTTCACAATGTAAAAGTTCCCACTGTTACACATCCAAAGCAAGCATTCTTGGCAACAGTACTGCTAAAACACAAAAGTTCAGTGATTCAAATGGAGTTTTTTTTTTTAATGTTATCACCATTATTCCAGACCTTACAATAGCTCACAAAGAACAATTTGATTTTCCAATTACCCGGTGTTTATACTGGCCTTGTAAAATCTCCATTCTTCACAAGAAAACTAATTTCATAGTCTGGAAACTCATTGCCAAGCTGTGACTATTATAATTATTTGGGGCTTTTCTATATTTACTCATTGTGAGTCTACTTTTCTTTGTTAGTCCTGGTAATTTTCATTCTCTGTTCAGGAGCCAGCCTCTCTATGTGTGGATTGTGTTCACATGTTAGAGATGACAAAACCAGTAGGAATCCATTCATCAGGTTCCAATGCATACTAGGTTATCAGTAACCCTTGAAAGCCAGAAAATGTTTGAATTCAATACACGTTGATGTGCTGTTGCCAAAATCTCACATAGTTGTCAAACACTAACAATTATATATTCTTTTGCAAATCACACGAGTGTTTCCTTCTCATAAAAATATAATTATCAAAACCATTTCCATCAAATGCATAGAAATAAGTAGTCCACTGAATATTCAGAAGAATCACGATTTCTTGGCAAGATTTCCAAATATATGTGTTGAGGTTCTTCACCTTGGCTTCTTCTCCTCCCTCAACCCCTTCCTCTCAAAACAAGGTGCCATTTATTGTAAATGATTTATTTGCAAGTTCAGACGCGTGACTCTTGTCACCTTTAGTTCTTTTCCCAGTCAAATGTGTTGCAGCCATTTTAAGTGTGGAGAGAGTATGAACATGACATTATTAATATGGTGAATCTTGAAATCAGATGAATCACAAAACTCATTCTTCCTGAAGCCATTTTTTTCAATTTAAGCCATTTGGTTAAAAAATGTGCAAAAAATATAAAACTCATGCTTGAGTTTAGAAATGTCCACTCCTATAGTGTTTAGCTTGCTGAAAACATAACTGGGAAAAGAATTGATCTGGCTTGCATTGAGATACCATCTGGAAAGCCCATTCCATGGAGCCCTACCTTAGCGCTCAATAAATTGGCTATTTTGTGCCTCTTCCCCAAGCACAATCACCTCTTTGCATTTCCAAAACGATCCTGCTTCAACATTCTTCCACAGCCAAGTGCAATCTGTCTTGCAATGTGTCCTTTCTCCTAAACTGGTTGTTATCAATATTCTCTCGCCAAGAAGTGCTCAACACATAATATCTCCCTTGCTTCTTTTCTTATCTTCAGCCTTGATGGTATAGTTTTTCCATACCATTCAGCTTTCATATCCATCTGTATATAGAACCTGTGGAACTGAGTGCTGTTTGTTCAGCTTGCCTTGTGTGCTTTCATTTGTTACTTTCCAAATCTTATTGTGTATATGGATGCGCAAAGCATCTTTGTGGATCTCAGACTCCACAATCTCATCTGGGTGATATTTTACTGGCAGAGCTGCTCTCCATCATTCTCTCAGTACCCATTATACATATCCGCCTTCAGAGCTTCATTTCCATTGTCTTCTCCTCATGTAGATGTAGTCCAAACCATCACTGGCTTTTATCACTTGCACTGTTGGCATTTGTGGAGGTGTTTGACACTGAGAACACCATCAAGAAGCCTGTTTCCTTCTTTGAGTCTTAGTGGCAAAGTTCATAAATCCTTGCATGGAAGAAGGCTTCTTTTAGAGGAATGTTATGCAACTTTATAATAATTCTGAGGCAAATGCATTGTGAAAATTTGCTATCATTTTGCTTAATTATGGGCCTGCTCTTGGGCTCCTCATGACTTTTTTTTTCCCCCAAGCTTGACTGCTGTGTAGTGCTACATCTGCATCTGTAGCTTGCTGTCTTTCCACTTCTGCTTCCATCTTACTCTTCATCTTCCTTCACTGATGGCCAAAGGAGACAAAAAAAAAAAAAAGTCAATGTGCTTACAGTGCAAAATAGCCACAAATGACTGCCTTGAAAGTTCTGAAAGAGTCAAGAATGTGAGACCCCATACACACACATTTCCAATGATTTTGCCAAGAAAATTGCCTCTATGCTTTGGGCTCTAATTATTTTGCTGTCCATTGTGGCAAAGTTGGTATATTTTTCAGGAGAGGCCATTGTAGTCTCATGTGTAATCAAGAAAAAGAAAGATACTTGAATCAGTTCCTTTTTTCCCATGTGTTTATACCCATAAATAAATATTATGGCTTCTTCTCTAAAATATATGGAAGCCACAAGGAAAGGTTCATTTGTCAGAAACCAGTCTCGATCAAAGTGATAAAAAGATTTCAACAGGTTATTTCAACCTACCAAAAAACATAAACTTGAATTTGAAACCAGAGAGGGCCATGTTTTTACAGTCTTATGCTGGCTTGGTGGACATATGCAAAACAAATGAATATGAAGTAACCTGTCAGCATTCTTATGTTTTATATGAATTGTGTGTGTGTGTGTGTGTGTGTGTGTGTGTGTGTGTGTGTGTGTGTGCGCGTGCGCACGCGCAGAGCACATGTGCACAAATTGGAAAAGGCCTGCTATATCTGTTTTCTACTTTAGAAGTGGGTAAGAAAATTTCAACAGGTCATTGGAAAGAAAGGATACAAAAGTTTTTATGAGTGATGACAGGAAATGAAGAGAAATGAAGCAGTTCAGGATGTCTGTTTGTCTATGCTACCTGAAAAGCACCACTATTCTTCTCGCTATATTGATTTTAAAGTCACTGGCTTACGCCATTTCCCACAGCGTAAAGGCATTATCTACACTAAATTTCAAGGTCAAAGATACATTTGGAAGCCAATTATTCCAACTTGTTTATAATAGAATAATAGAACTGTTAGAAAATAGAAAAAATGTACACAGGCAAATAGTCTATAAACTGTTTTTATGTGTTTGCACAATTTAGTGTTTTAAATCTTAAGCTAGTTTACATTACATTTTGAACAAAGAATAGAAAAATGATGGAACAAGGAAACATGAGGAAAGAAGAAAAAAGGGAAGATAGGAATCAAAGAGAATTTTAACAATAGTATATAAAAATAAGTAAATGTTATTAAATGCAACTGAATTAAATGGGAAAAAGTTGAACCAATCTTTAAAAAAATTAAATAGTATTCTGAGTATAAATACTTTATGATTTAACAATTACTTGCAGATTTAATTATGTTGTTTTACTACTGTTGCTAGAATTTAGAGGATTTGATGAGCAATTTGTAAGTTAAAAAAAGATAACACCCATGGATCTGGAGAAATAAAAATCATCCATGACCTTTGATTTTTATTTGCTCAAAGATTTATTCTTTGTATATTATTCTCAATGAGATTGGAAACATGTAGTGTTTTATTTTTATGCACACATACTAAACCTCAAACATCCTGCTAAGGCTAGTAAAGTCCCCAAAACTCCTTTAATATATTAGGAGTGTGATTGTAATAATGAAGCCAGAACAACAGAGCCATAACCTTCATTAGACAAGAATTTAATGTTCAGGTCAGAGACGGAGGAATTAGATTGAACTCCTGGCTGACAGCACATGAAAATGTATGAGTTTTAATAGATTAAATGTTTTTCCTCACATGAACAAAACAACAACAGAATTTGCAGATGAGGGATACTTGTTGTTGAATGGAGTCCTAACCATTCTCAGTGGATTGAAAAACTTCCCCTAATAGAAACTTTTGTTTTTTTGCTATTTAAATGACTCCTTACCAAATTTGAATCTCTCTCAATTGGGCTTCATAAAAAAATATGACAAAGTGAACACATAAATGGGTGACACAGGTAAAATCTGAATTGGTAACGTGAAAGCTCAGAGAAGGACAGTTCAGTTATAGGTCATTCTTATTGCTTATTTTACATCCGTAAAATTGGGCTCAATTAAAGTGCCCAGAAATATGGGGACAGATGAATAAATGTTTAAAAATACTGGAAATTAATTTAAATCAGTCTTGATACTGGTATGTAACCAAAGGTGTATATGCAAATACACATACACAGGCATCTTTCATTTAATGTTTCCAGTCAACCACTCAATATGTGACAGTCAAATGCTTTGTGTGTGTGATCTGATCTAATGCAATTTAGGGAAATGAAACTGTCGGATATATTTACAGAATGTGATGTTATGTATAGATGAGAATTACATTTTATTAGAACATTTCTATACTCCTTGAATACAAGTAAGTTCCTTTTGTATTTTACAATGCCACTAATTTATAATATGAAATAGTCATTGAAATGAGCATTATATGTAATTATGCAGACCTGCCCTTTCAACAGCCCTTTTCTTTTCAGAATATTAAGCCTAGTTTCTGATGTCTATAGCTAATTCTTGATTATTTCCACTGATCAAAGTGTAGCAGTATGGGAAAAGTATAAATTGCAACCTATTTCAGTTTAGGTTTAGAATATTATTTTGTGTTTCATTTGAATAAAAGAATATGTGTTCCAGAATTTGACAATATTTCAAAAGAGTTTTATCTTGATCCTCCAGTGAGTAGGCCATTATGTCTAAAGTAGGCCATTAAGTATGCAGGTCTAAAGTACCTTTACATCTAAAAAGATAAAAGATGTAAATACATAAGAAACATATCAGATTATAAATCTGGATGATGGGATAGTGGAGATACTCTGAGAAGATAATCTGACAATTATCAACAGACAACTTTCTGTTGTCACATGATTTAATATTTCTTTCCCAAACCTCCCTCTCCAAACTGTTATGAAAAAAATTAAATACTTATAATCTGATTTCTGCAGTATGTTGTCATATCAATATACATGGTCATTGTATAAACCCTCCAAGGGAAATAACCATTAAGTCATTTTCTCAGTGAAAATTCATTTCTTGCATTACAAAAATGACATTTAACCAATTCAAATCCATTATTTTTGGATGAAGTGTCAAGTTAAGAGGAATTTTAATAAGAAAAGTAAAA